GAAGGATAGTTGGGGTATTAAAGGCATTTACCCATTTTTAACATGAAGAAGAAAAATAAAACATGACAAAAATTCAATTGCTCACAAAAGACACAGCTTCTTTGCAAGAAAAGATTAAGCTGGAACAATGTTGAGGTGGATATAGGGAACAGCAAGAGAGAAAACCCTGTAATTTAAAAATGCCACTTACGCATCTTTTTACTTCCAAAGAAAAGCATCTTTATCCAGAGCAACAACCCAGATCACATCAAGGTGAATTTCCAGTTGGATGCTACAGCTTACAGAACAAGTCATGAATATTTGATGCACCCTTTAAATATCTTAGTTCCACCTCTTGAAAAGAATTATCCTTGCACAGACCAATGAATCTTGCATAGAAATTCTCTGCTCTGACCTCTTTCCTTAACTCCCAGTTTAAAAAACAAGGTCCAAATAACCCTGGTCTAAGCATGTTTTTCCATTAAATCTTCAGAATGAAAAAGTTAACCTGAAGTTTTTCAGGTATTGTTAATCCTGCTTTGAGGCAGGGGGATGGATTAGCTAACCAGAGTTTCCTCAAGATACTTTTCTTTTTTTGCTAACTACCAGTTCCCACAAAAGTTTTATTTCCTATGATGTATTTATGTTTATATTCACTGAAATGTAAGACTTCTGAGACTATTCAGAGGCAAAACATCCCTTAGTACAGTTTGAGTTCAGGCTCGCTCTCTATATTCTTTGCAGAAGATAACATTGTAAGCCTTTTTAAGAAAGACCCTAATGCCATCCTGTCTGCAGGACACTGATCCTGTGATGAAACTGGCTGGCCAAACAGAGAGAAGAGAAACTGATAGAGTAGCATGGTACATCCAGCCTGCACAACAGGCCTTTGTTGAATAGAGTCTGCCCTGCCCATGCCATCACATTACAAGAAACATTATCTTTGCTATTCTCTATATTACCTTTGAGAGTGACCTGGCCCTGAGGGCAGGGACAAGCTGCAAATCTGGACTTAAGCCCAGCTTCAAGGCTGCTATGGCACATAAATATACATACAATCTTGGGTACTTCTATGGGTTTGTCACCACAGGATCCGAGTATTTTTCAGCACAGCTATGCCCACTAAAGTGGGAAATACGCTATTATTGACTGTCCTAAGTGAGGGACTGCGACTCGTATGTTCTGAAGGAGTGTACACAGAGCTGAAAAGGGACCAAAGCAGGTTAGCTGTGCTGGCACAATGTGCTGGCCAGTATGACTGAACTGTTTAATGCAACTATCTGGTAAACTTTATCTCACTGAGGTGCACCTGGGCAGCCATAGCCTTAGGAAATACCCAAAAGGCATGTAGAGTCTCATTACCAAGAGGTAATACTACTGTTTTGCTTAATCAGAAGATAGATTGTAAGGGTATGCAGCTTATGACATACTTTTAATAGTGGCCTTAGGAACATAGAAACTATACCTATTCTATAAAAGTAAACCTTTTACATATAGAAGAATAAAAATCAAAATAGAATAATCATATTTTATGAGAGCATACCAAAAAAATTCAGGAAAAAGCAGGAGTTTAAAACCAAAATTAAGAAATTAAACGGAAAAAAAAAAGGAAGAAAGAAAAGATGGTACTAGAATGATACATGGGGCTACAGAATCCAGGAAAATTTGTAGTGTCTTTAAAGCATCGATCTGAAGAGAAGAACACAAATTTGTAAGACAGAATCTAAACAGAGAATAAAAATTTCCTGCAAAACCTATGTCATTCTTATGAAATCTGTATTACTGTACATTTATAGAAGTTCTCGCTTTTGACGTTTCAAGGAACCAGCGTTTTAGTGGCAAAGTTTCCTCAGCAGCATGAAGCAAATAGGCTTTCCTCTCACCCCACTACCAACCTGGTTCCAGGCTTTTAAGTCACTAAACTGGATGTTATAAGCCAACCCTGCCCTCATTAGGCCTTCCTCTCCAAGGCTTGCATGCTTAAGGATCCTAAACAACTATAATTTATGTCACAGGTGACATAATTCGCTATTGGATGCTACTGTGAATTCTAAACAGATTATTATGCTGCCCACTGATTTGCTATGTTAACATAGCTAATTAAACACATTGGAAAAACAGACTGGTGATACCTCTGGAGATCCACCAGTGTGGTAAGATATCCTATTTAATCTGAACAAGAAAATCATATAATGGTTTGGATTGGAAGGAACCTTAAAGATCATCCAGTTCCAAGCCCCCTGCTACTAGACCAGGACCTGCTCAAAGCCCCATCCAATCTGGCCTTGAACACTGCCAGGGATGGGGCAGCTACAAATTCTCTGGGCAACCTGCGCCAGTGTCTCACCACCCTCACAGTGAAGAACTTCTTCCTAATGTCTAATCTAAATCTCCTCTCTGACAGTTTAAAGCTATTCCCACTTGTCCTGTCACTACATGCCCTTTAAAAAGTCCCTTTAAGGTCTCTCCAGAGCCTTCTTTTCTCCAGGTTCTACAAGCCCAACACTATCAGCCTGCTTCCACAGGAGGTGCTCCAGCCCCCAAAGCATCTTCATGGCCTCCTCTGGACTTGACTGAGCAGGTCCATGTCTCTCTTGTGTTGGGGTCCCAGAGCTGAGCTGACTGCAGATGGGATCTCACAAAAGTGCAGCAGAGGGAGAGAATTGCCTCTCTTGACCTCCTGGGGTGTCTCAGTTCTGTTCTTCTAACCAACACACATTTTCAAGTGCAAAACACATTCCAGACTTACTATATGGTTGAACAGAATTGTCTTCCGTTTCCAGTATTGATGCACCATGCACATGATAATGAAATACTTCAATATTTATACATTCCATTTCTATATTTACATTAAAAGTCTTTTTTTTTTTTTTTAAAGATTAATGGAAGTGAGAAAAGCTAGCACTATAAATACATCTTTATGGCTTTTACCAATGAAATATTGATTTCAGGAGAAAAACACATCTCTAACCTAAATATCCTTCCATTTACAGATGCAGTGCAGGCCTTCACTGGTACCAAAGTCAGACTCCGTAATGAGGGAATGGAAATAATTGTGGATGGGGTGAGGAAGGGGAAGCCTGAATACACTTTATAAACTGAATTTATTTACAGACCTAAATCCCCGACCACATGATTTCACTCATTTGAACATTTCTTTGCTTTTACTGTAATAAAAATCATAAAAACCACAAACAATTTTAAAGGGTAGGACCAGACCAAATGTCATTTGCACACTGTTGTGACCATCTAGAGGTCTTCAGTGATTGTTAAATATGCCTGATTCTGACCCACTGGTTGAATATATGAAGAAATCCCAAAGCCTGCTACTAAGGAAGCCAGAGAATTTTTGTTCTGTGTCTTGGGCAAAGGAGGAAAACGGTTTTCAAAGTAGATTCTGCCAGTTGTTTGATGTGCTGATAAAAATTTAAGACACTTTTTATTGCTTTACCTCATTTAGTATTAAAATATGAGCCATCCACTGGTACATGGATTGGACTAGATGTCCTTACTGGTTCTTTCTACTTTGCTTACAGACACTTCCCTAAAGGCAAAGCGACAGGCTTCCTAGGCAAACTGAAATGAGACCTGCATACAAAAAAGGCTTCTGACTCATGAATGATTAAGATGAAGAATACTGTGGAAGCAGTGGCGAAAAACAACTGAGCCATTTTCCCAAAAGAAAATAAAACTATGAATGATTTTCTGGCCTTACAGCCAACCCAACTGCTTTCTTACAGAAAGCTTGCAACAGCACAGGGGTACTGAAAATGTACGTGATAATATAGTCTATCAAGGGTAATGATCCTCTCCTGCCTTTTTGGTATGACCCTTCTCAAATTAGCCAAAACTACTGTGGGAAACTTCTTCAATTGAAATCTGTGTTACATATTACCACACCACAGATAAAACAAGGTACCGGGGGGTGAAGTTCATCAAAGGGCACCACTTGTTGCTGACCTCGATTCTGACACTCAATCTGCAGTGATGAGACAAGTGGAAGTTACTATCGATTTGTTCTGACTGCTTTGGAAGTGCAACCGCTCCCACTTCTCTCATCTTTCACATCATTAATTATCTTGAAAGGGAGCACGGTGTACAGACAAGGCTTGTTACGGAGAAAACTGTATGACTGAACATGAGGTGACAGTACAAGAACATGACTACAGTACTACAGGATTAGCACAGGCAGATTATTTTGCCTTCAATAATGCCTCTGAAGGTATAGTCAGTAATAAGCACCTCTAACACACAGATTGGTTCTCTTCAGTTGTAAAAAGGAGAAGTAGGATTTGTAACTCTTTAGTGGCTTTTCCATTCTTTTTACTGAATACATCCTTTGTGAAAATCCTGGTTCACATATTTTTTAATTTACAGTCTTGGGCAGGAAAAAGTCAGACTACTGAATTTCTCACCATCCTAATGCAGTCCTCCAACACTGTGGCCAACACGCTCACCCATGCAGCCTCATGCAGATCCACTAATTAAAGTTCTAGTCCTGCAACAGGGTCTCACAACGGCAGAAGAAGGGCCCTGGCAGAAGATGGAACAGCATGGACAGGCTCTAGCAAATTCTAGTTCCAGCATGAGGTATAACGGATGGTACGGTTCAGCTGTCAAATCAGTTCAGCAGAAGCTCTCCAAAGAAAAATTCAGCCCTCTGCAGAAAGCAAGGTCAGTGATTCAACACTTAATACATTTCCTCTTACTCAGTTCTAGCCAAAGCCTTGAAATGAAGTGATAAAGAAAGATTCCTTTCAGCCTCAGTGCCCACATTTCAGAATGATGTATCTATCTAATGCAGTATCATATACCTAGGAGAACAAATAAAACACTATGGGATTCTCGAGTTCAACTATCATTTGACTTTTTATTTTTCTTTTTATTATTATTTTTTTAAACTGGAAGGCTCTGAAACTGTGTTTCCACATGCTGTTAAGGACTGTAGGTGTTCCATAGACTCTCAGATTTATTTATGCTCAGAATACTCAAGCTCCTCCCAGCAGAGCTTCCCCTTTTACCTTCTGTCGCTGCTGAATGTTGCTCATCGTGTCTGGCTGAAACTCCAGTTTGTCTGTTCGACAAAGTTTCCAGTATAAAATAATAACAATTAGAAGCACCACAGCAACTGGGACTGCCACACCAACAATAATCCATAGGTTGCTATTCTGTGACTCTGAGGTGGACTCCTTCAGCTTCTCCACAGCTGTGAAGTTAAAAGGAAGACAGCAATATTACATGGTTATATATTTTAAACTGAGGACTCTTCAAGGTTGTGTATTTTTATGTGCTTGTAAATGCTAGTTAAGAAATTTATCAGAAACCAGCTGCACATCACAGGACATGTCATACCACCTATAAGTTAACATATGTCATGCTCAGGAAGCATGGGGCAGGTGACAGATTGTCCTGGTCTATCTTCTGAAGGCCTGGGCTTAAAATACTAGTGAAAATAAACTTCTGCCACAACATCCTGTAACCCAAAACTGAGCTGACATAGTGAAATGCATCCAGAAAAATGACTTGCTACTAACAAAGGCAAGAAGGATTTTCCAGTATTATTGCCTGTTTCCTGCTTTATGGTATTATCAGCTGCCTCTTCTCTTCAGTTCTACATTATATATTTTGTGACCTTCCTCATTAATAATCACAGTCAATTTGAAATCAGTAAGACCCTCCTCCCCAAGGTGTATAATTCCACATTTTTTATTACTTATTTTCCTTCCTCTGTTTTGCTGTCAGTGTGTGAGATCCTTTAAACAAAACTACTGGGAAGTGTAATCAAACCAGTTATGCTTGTAAGAAGTGAACTGGAAGAACTGACAAAGCTTCCATTTGCTCTATTTTTCACAGTGGTTATATGTGGGACTAAAAACAACAGCAGTAATACACTACTAGTCAAAGTGTAAAATGATGTCTTGAAGTTAAAAAGAATATTTCTGTGCAATCTTATTTTTATATATCATTTTAATAATAGCCATTCTAATGATGAACCTAGAGATAAAAGGAACATATTATAATTCCTATATTTTATACATCTGACAGCTCGTTTATGACATTCCATTTTCTGTTATAAAAATAACCTTTTCTTTTGATCTAGTTTCTTCCAGCAAGAAGAAACATTTAAAAGATTTCTATGATGTTATGCCTCTTAGAAGAGTTTTCTAATGACACGTCAAAGATAAGTTTCAACTTCATGCAGAATAAGCTATAAACACTTCATAGTTTGTTGAACACTTACTGCTTTTGTAAAGGGAATTTATTCTTGCAACTTTTTGCACTTCTGTCTAACCGGTATCACATCCCATTAGCAGATATTAAGCAGATGTATACAAGCTACTAACGCATTTTTAAACCTCTGTTTTAATGAGGGACAAAAATTTTAAAACACATCCAGATGGTGCAATTATTACTATTTCCTTCCCTTTCTTTCTGCAGAGGATTTAAAAAAATCAGACACATTTGTTCTATTGGCAAAATACCCTGTGGTACAATATAACTGATGCCTCCATATTGCACAGAAAACCGAAAAGATAATTAAGCATTCATTTCAATGAGGTATTCTGAAGATCATATACATGTCCATTACTGTTTTAAAATACTTCCAAATTTCTTTCCTAAACATAACATGGAATTTTCAGTAGGTCTTCTGTCTTGCTTCCTGAATAAAGTAACTATATGACTTTATATGGCCTGTCGTATTTATTCTGATGTGTATCTAGTAAATAAACATTACTTTTATATTATCTTTACTGAAAGATCACATTACTTATATATTACTGATGGACAAATAAAAATAAGGTCAACCATACTCAGTGGAGGAAATCAACTGCTTCTTTTTGCTCATACCTTTCAAAATGCCCCAGCTAGCATTAGCCTACATATTTCACTCACATAAATAATAATTCAGACAAAAAAAAGTAATGACTTGCGTTAAACATCACTGCTATTACTCAGCTAAAGGAAACACCCGTTTCACAGACACCCTCTTATTCCACAATCATGGGGTTTGTGCAACTGCTGGGAAAGGTAAGAGATTAAAAAGAGATGAAAATGGCAAGAAGCTATCTAGTTAGCACATTATTTTTCTAGCACAAGCACAGAAGTGAATGCAGTGAGGTTTGCACTTAAGGACCCTGTTGCAATTCCAACCTCAGCAGTCATCAAGAAACAAAGCAACACCACACAGCTCACTGCAAAACTGCTAAAAATTACTCCCCTCAGAGCGCCAAAATTGCAGCGTCCCAATAACAAAACACTGCAACGGTGGGGTCTGACAAGTGCCAATCTCCAAAGCTCACGTCACCCTTCCAGTTTCTCTTTGCTGGCATCAGTGTGGATTTGAAAGGGCTTACGCTGTGCAACGGTGCCTTCAATGCGGTATCCAAGGATGATTGCTGCCCGCTGGATGTCAACTCTGTTCATCAGGTCTGAGCACTTTAGAGCACTGAGTCTCTCTCCATCTTGGTCCTCCACGAAATAGATCAGCTCCACAGGGTTATCAACACCAACTAACCGCGACACATTCACAATCTGAAAAGAAATTGGAAAGCTGTTGCATTTTAAGTTGTGTTTATTTTGGGCTCCCACATATTTGGCCTTTCAGCTCTCTCCCTCTTCCCTTCACAGGGCCTGGACCTTAAGGACACTTACCTAAAAATAGACATTTGGAACAAGCAGCTTTGCCAAGATTGAACCAATATCTGTCTTAATTCTCACTGTGTGCAACCCCTAGTGCATAAAAAGCATTCTACCTTGTATTATGAGGTAGAAATACAATTGCTGTTAAAGAAAATCCTTCTAGCTGTGACACCAAATAATATGGTATTATACTAACCACGTAATTTCTATGAGCTGGTACAGTTTGGATATTGTCAATATGCAGAGAAGTCTGAAAGGAAGATGTACCACATACAGTGCTCAGAAATACTGTATGCAGCAAAAGCAACATACACAAAGGCTAGTTCTGTCATCTGAGCAGAGTTGAAGTCAATGTTGGGCAAGCATAGATACACAAAGCTAATATTCAGTACTAATAATTTTCTTCTAAACTGAAATTCAGGATATTTTCACCTAATACTATATAAATTATTCTGAGTAGAAGTCTTCCAGGGGAAAACAACATTGCTGGAATACTATATTGGTGTCTAATTACAGAAGCTCTATTCAAGTGCTCTGGGGCCCTGGGAAATTTAGAGAAATTTACATTTGGTAACCGAAAGGAAAATTTCCAGGGAACCAATCTTTGTATAATAAATTTTTTTTGTAATTCCTGATGTCTCTGTTTTTTTTCCCCTGTTTCATGACAATGTACAGATCCAGTACTGAAGAGAACTGCTTTCACTCTGAAGATGCCAATATCATGCCACCCTGGAAGCCTCTATGGCCTTTAGCATTTTTCAATTAGTAGGAGCTACTGAAGAGATTAATGTGGTTGCACTTCCCCCTTCTCTAAATACCTACTTTGACTTTGCTTTGTTATTCATAACGCACACCTCTTTGTTCCAGGTTTTCCAAATGTTAATCAGCTATACATGCAAATACGCTGTTAGCTTCAAATACCACTGTTGCTCTTCCTCAACGAAAGCACAGTCACCTTCATCCTGCAAACAGCTCTCCCTGGCACTCACCCTTCTTCAGGAAGGAATGTATTTGATGCTGGGGGAAGTAATTCTTCCTACCTACTTCTAAAGATGTTAATAATCAAAAAAATGCTTGCTATGAGGAAGCCCTGTAGATAACCACCAGACATCTACATTGCATGTAAGAATCACATAACATTTTTGAATTCCTGTAAAATTAGATCTTATACACAACTCTCATCTGTTTAACCATTTACATGTAATGGTGAGCTAAATCTAGAATTAGGCCAAGCAAATAGGAGGTATTCTATCATGTAAAACAGAGTTTGAAGAGCTCTGAAAGGAACTACCACAAATAGAGCAATATATTTTGCTTCCTTCAGAATTACCTTTTAATATGAAGTACATACTTAATAAATTAGGATCTCACACACTGCCCACAGGCTTGAAGTGAACACACAAATGTTTGCATCTCTGAGGCTTACAAAAGCAAAGCTCTGTATTATTTTCTTTTCTAGTTTCCACCAAAACAATCATGTTGAAGGAAAGCAGAGCAATGTTCTAGCTCAACAGGGATGATGTTCTGGTCTTTGGGGACATCAACTCAACACGTCCTAAAAAAGCATTTCCCAGGGGTGGTAACAGCAAGGTATGTAATAAAAAAAAGGAGAAAAAAAGTCTTCTAGGCCAAACAACTGAAAGCAAAGAGTAATGTTCAATGTCAGTCACATTTGATGTAAGAAACAGAATACCTACAAACAGAGCAGAAAAATATGCAGATCTCTGAAACACAGCAAGACCTGCTAGCAGGACCTATTAACCAGTGCTGCTTCTCATCCTGAATGCTATCAGCTAAGGGGCAACAATCTCCAACTGAAGGTGTAACAAGAGAGTATCAATATGTAAGGTTTCAGCATACATATTCAGCATCTGGAAGGATGAATCTGGTTTCACAGAACCCAGACACATCATTATTTAGCAAATGTTAACAGCTTCATCTTTCTGCTTCAGCTGGGCTGCCTTTACCACACCCTGGCTGCAGTGCAGAGAGCAGCAGGGCGTACAGACTGTTACCTTCCTAAGCAGCACTTAACTAACACGGACAGCAAGGGAGCTGAAACGCCACATGGGACTGAAAGTCAATGGAGTTTCCACTTAATTTTATGAAACCTTTCCGCGTATAGCAAAGCTACAGAATCAAAGACAGAAGATTCTTAAATCTTCATACATTTTATGGCATAGTGGAGAATCATCATACATTTTATGGCATAGTGGAGTATCCTAGAAGTACTGTAATTTTATGTGTGTTATACACAGTGTAACAGTTAGAAGCTGGCTGAATGGGTTAAAAAGAAACTTCTCCATAGCTGCCTTTTGAAAGGGCAGAGGAGGACAGATTTCAGAGCAAGTTGCCACAACTAAAACAATACAACTTTTAGCATATAATTCAAAACAACAGTGTATGACTCCCTATGCTGAGGAACAGGAATGAGTGAGAACAGTCAGAGTAGACAGAAAGAGCAGCTGGAGGTATTTTAGCACAGTATAGAGAACGTGGGAACGAACATGAATAAATTCAGTGAAGGGTGGAGGTGCAGGCTGGTGTTGATGAACTAAGCTCACTATTTTAAGGTAAATTTTATCTGAAATAATTTGTTCTGAATACTCAGTATTTCACGAGTACTCACACCATGCTGAGGGAAGCTGCAGACAAAATTTCCAATCCAAGGGGAGATGGTTATGGATTTCTATTCTGGGAAAGCTGATGGCTGAGCAGGGTATTCTTGAGGTGACAATGAGACAACTAGATGTATATATAAACACAACTGTGACAACAGTGGTACTTCAGTTTTCATCTCTGTCATACTGATTCTCTGAACTTCTTTTTTAACTATCCTCTGAGTTTGCTGCAACACAGAAAATGGCCCACTGGATCTGAACTGGTTTTAAGTCTGGGTATAAAATTGAGGTACACAGCCACCATGCCCATTTTTTTTACAGTTTCTGTATACCATGTTTTGTGCCATTTTGCTCCAAATTATAGCCTTCATGCAGCTTTGAACTGGTTTTGTCTCGTATTTTACAGAGGTGTCCCTACCCTTGAGAGTGCTAAGAATGCAAGCAGGGGCAGAAATGGTATTTTGAAGGTAGCCAGCAAAGCAGCCCATGTGTAAAGAAGCATTTAAAGCATTTTACATTTATACTTTGGCAGTGAGGGATGACATAGGAAGGAAATACAAGAACTTCACTATATGGCAGGCAGAAAAAAAGAAGACAAGACTAATTTAACTTCTCTGTACATAAATGATACCATCCCTGTTGATACTAGATGTGCATTTAACCTCCACAGAGTAAAGGCTTAACTGTGTGCAGGTGTCAGTAAATTTAATTTAAAAAGTGTTTTCAAGAGAATACTATAGGTCAGTGAACAGAGCTGCCTGAAAACCAAACCTAGTTCCTAATCTGAGTTGGGAAATCCAGGTGGTGGGCAAGCTTGCAAGGCATTTGCAGAGTGTCAGTCAGCCAGAGGGATGTCCCAGTCAGCAACCCCGTCAGAATAAGGAATCCCTGGGTGAACCGGCTCCGGGTTTCGAAGGCATGAGCGTTAAATAGAAACAAGCAAGTGCACACACACAACCTCCAAAATGCACATATATGAGGTTTATTTTCCTTTTTTCACTCTGTTCATCCCCTAGGGAAAAAAGAAGCAAAAAATAGTCTGCTTTCTGCCTTACTAAAACTAGGATTTTAGTGTCCAGGCAATCAAATGAAGCTGTATTGTGGTCTGAAAGGCTCAGCAGACAATATGACATAAAGCGTATGTGAAACAGGCATTACACATAGCCTGCCCGGGGTCAGAGAAAGCTCTCAAAGGAACCTGGACAGGGCAGCACCTGCTGTTGCAGACCAAACACTTACCTGCTGTGGCAGCCCCTCCTCGTGCTAAGCCAGGGAGACCGATACATGAACCGAGAGGGCCAAGGCACTGAAAGCAACACTAAGGAAATTTCCTCTCTGACTTGCAGAGGCTGGGCTAGCCAAAAAACTGGCTTGCCAGAACAGTGGTAGGCTGTCCGCAACCTGATGGAGGGGCTGGTCGTTGAAGGAGTGAAATGCCTCTGAGGAAAAGGTGAAGCAGCAGCAGTCCCCAAAGGCTCTATTTAAAAACCTAAAATCCCAGCAAGACTGGGCCTTTATTCAGATTACACACTCAGGAGAGCTGTCAGCAGAAAACCAAGAGAATGAACCTCTGCCTTAATGAAATCTCAATGAAGTCATTATATCCCCTCATAGCTACTACCTTCCTCACACACACTACAACTACAATGTCACCTAATGTGCTCTTTAAATCAGAACACCATTCTTCTTGTCACTTAGTAGGATCACCTTTCTGCTTTCTGTTAGGTTCAAAAGACCAAGCACGCTGATATGAAGAAAAGTTATTTTTATGTTAGCTCCTAGTGGAGTTTTTAAATTACAATTAAGCCATTTAATTCCTCTAAAAAAAAAAAAATTAATGACAATTGAGATACTGTAGTAAACTACTGACAAAATATAGCATTGGGCTTAGCTTCTGCAGGTGCAATGCAAACCACGTTAAATGTGCCTTCAAATCTGCAGCAACAACAGACACCTATTAAAAATATATATGTCTTGCTCTATGAAACATTAATATCAAAATCACAAAAAAAAATGGAACTATCTCATGTATAACTATCAGGTATGAGGCTTCAGAGGGTTTTTTTGTACATAATGGTTATAGGCTTTTTTCCTTTTTTTGATTTTTTTTATCATGGAGTGGCACCTGTTAACAGCACAGATAGGCAAACAGGAAAACAGAAAGCATGCTATTTGGGCACCACAGATACTCCAAAGATCTTACTCAAACTATCTAGGTTTAAAGAGTAAATTTTAACATTTTTAGATCCTAACACATCTTTAGAAAAGAAATCTAAACCTCACAAGGTATCACTTCTATTTCCCCGCTATGTGAGAGGAAACTAATATGCCTGCAGTAACATTCACAAATAATTGCTTCACCTTCTGACCCACAGTCCTGCTTTTCCACAGAGCTTAGAAATGTCGCATTTCAATACGCTATAAATATCTTTCACCCCAGGAAAAACACCAGTCTATAGGGGCTGAACACAAGTGAAACGTATGTCTAGTCTTTTGTGGATATACACATGCCCTGTTAATAAAAGTGTCCAACACTTATTTTCATTTCATTGTGGCCTACTATCATAACAGTCACTGGTTTGTATGAAAGAAAAATATATGGGAAAATCTGAATGTAAAGCACAAAGAACTTTAATAGCTCTCCCTGAAGACACAAACAGATGCATATGTACAACACACTTCAAAAATAGCTTATAAACTTGGATACGAGGAATAGAATTAGCAGCAGTAAAACTGAAAGGCTTATTGCAAATGACTATGGACCAGATCCTCAACTGGCAGGGGAGCATCCTTGAAAGAAATAGTCCTCCACTCAGTAGCCCACTTCCTGGTGCATCACTCCCGCTGCACATAATAGCTTCTAAGGCTGTCACACCTAACACACACCTGAACATCCCCCCAAAGCAAGCTACCAAGAAACAATAGGACACGATGGCACCTATTCTTGTGCAGGAAAGTAGGACAACTACCACTGACACCTAGCAGCAAAGTATGTCCTTCAGCCTTCCTTTTTCTGCATCTTCTTTATTACGGTGCTAATTCTACCTAACAGCACAGGCTGTGAGCACCTGAAGAAGCCCTGGTTATGTGGGATAGTATGATGTGTTGACCTTAACTAAGAGCATCCTCCACTGCCCAAAGTTTGAGGATTCTTTGGACTAATTAAGTGGCACGAAGGAGCAGCATTACTGTCAGGAACATGAGCTGCAGAGCAGTAAGTAATATAAAGTCATAAGAAAAACACTGTATTTTCACTTTCTGAAACACTGTTCTTTAGGTAGAAAGGATCTGGTTGTAATTTTATCCATGCAAAAATAAATTACCTGAGCTTTCTTATGTAAAATCATAAAACTCTAATCTACACATACACATTTCACAGGTTGTGGTATCTTTGCTTGCAACATAAGGAATATTTCTTTAATTTATATGCAAAGGGAGGATAGGGGCATAAAGAACAAAGTGCAATAAGAGGTGTTGGGAATAGAAGATCTTAAACAGACATCTATTTACAGCAATTAAAAGCTGCACAAAAGAAAAATAAAATAAAATCTCTATTACTGAAACAGATGTTTCTGACATGCAAAAACAAAAGTAAGAAAAACCCAACATCTGGAAATTAAAGTGGTAGCAAAAACTGTAGGATTGAATTAAATAAGGATAATAGGTCTGTACTACTAGAAGGACATATGTGAGATAAACCAACTGTCAATGAATTAGCTGGAAAATTAATTTTTAAGAAGATGAGCCATTAAAAAGTATTTTGGCTTTCAGTTTGTTGGACTGACTAGAAAGAACACATGTGAGAATTTAAATATTCAAGCCTCCCTGGACATTATGTGCATAATTCCACCTGTGACAAAACTATAAAACAGCACTGGAATCCAGATAGCAGAAGTTGCCATGTGTGCATAATTTGGTATGATTAATCATTCATACTTGAAAGCCATTCCTGTGACCAGGAGTACTGTGACAAATAGGGAATTAAGGGGTAGTATATACTACTATACTGCTGCATACGATTGTATTTCATGTTTCTACACCAACACCAAAACACAACAGAGAGCTGGGAAGTAGCTGTTCCAGCAGAGGACTTTCTTTTGACTCAGATGATCATCCTGTCTCCTTTTGCTGGGCACCTCATGCAAGTCAGACAAGACAGCAAGTTTTTAAAATAGGAAGTTGGTAAAATAACTTTCAGTATTGTTTTTAAGAAGTCATCAGCATTCTTTTAAAATACCCAGTTGTTTCCATTTGTTTATGTTTAGCTTACAAGACAACAAGTCTCCAAAAGAATTCTATTTTAGGCACAAAACAAACATCATCAACCAGTTAAAAGTGACATATGCTGTTGAGTTTTCTTTCTCAATTCAAAACCTAGACAATATTAACTTATTCAATAATTTATCACCCTTTATTTCTTCCTCTGACTTTGAGCTCTTAATACCTGAACAACGTTGCTGCCTGCAAAACTGGCTCGTCTCCATATCCGCCCTCTGACCAAAGCCTCGTTTAACAGGTGAGCTAGTTTTCGTTCCATCTCAGCCCGAAACACTTCCTCCTGAATTCGCTGGTCGACGACACCCAAGAGAACTACATTGCAGAGAAAGTAACCCAAGAACACAAATGAATTAGTAAAACTTTTCAGTGTCTTTTCTGCACCTTCAGTTACAAGCTTTGAGTCACCCTGTGACAGCTCACAGACAATTCAAGAACAACTGTATTCATATGGGAATACTGCCCAGTTCAGCCAGAGGTTACACGTTGGAAAGAAAGACACTGGGTGGGGAAAGGTTAACATAAATAAATAAATAACTTGTGGCAGAGGGCATTTTTGGAATCTCAACCAGGCTAGAGACTCAGGATATTGAAGAAAGTTTCAATTCTAAAAAACCCCATAAACTTAGGAGCATTCAGTGAATTACTTAAAAACAAATCAAAGATAAAATTCAGTTGCTGCAACTGCTTTCAGTCAAAATATGCTTGGAAGTGATAGAGGTG